GAGAGAGAGAGAGAGAGAGAGAGAGAGAGAGAGAGAGAGAGAGAGAGAGAGAGAGAGAGAGAGAGAGAGAGAGGCAATGTAGGTACTTGTTGAAGTGTTCAGCATCTTGAAATTGGCATGTGACTGTTTCAAATGTTGTGATCTGCACTCAGAGGAACTGGGGAACGCCCCCGGCCAGCTTCCTTTTGTTTGCATTTTTCTGCAGTTTTATGTTGATGTATTTCAAAGTATTTTGCTATTTTCTAATTTCAAGTTTTTTTTTTTTTTAATCACACTTACACGGTCCGCTTGTCCTCTTGTTGACGTCATCATATATGACGTGTGGGAATCGTGCTTGATCACTTTTTCGAAGAGTAGTTTGAAGCTGCTTCGCTCATGTGACCACTACCTGGTTGCAAGCGCAATGAATGGCTCAGTAAGTCCCCCTTCTTCTCCCCATCTCTGCCCCCCAACCTCTCTCCCTTCTCTCCCTTCTCTCCCTTCTCGCCCCTTTCTCCCCCTTTCTCCCCCTTTCTCCCCCTTTCTCCCCCTTTGTTCCCCTTTGTCCCCTTTGTCCCCCTTTGTCCCCTTTTGTCCCCTTTGTCCCCTTTGTCCCCTTTGGCCCCTTTGGCCCCCTCCTCCCCTTTTCCTCGATACTAACACATTGGGACAATCTGTATCACATTGATAGCATTATTATATCAATTATATGATTATCTGGGAAAATACTAATTACTAATCGTACATGTGTGGTCCCCACCACTAAACAAATTGTTAAATGGTGGGGTGCCATCCCAGACCTTGTGTTTTCTCTTGGCTCCACTTCTTCTTATGCAGCTCAATAACTGCGATTCTGTGTCGAGTACCAAAAAGGTTAAAAAAAACTGTTTAAAAATTAACACTTTTAACACCAGAAGATACACTTTTAACACCAGAAGAAACACTTTTAACATCAGAAGGTGATTGCAGCCATCATAACATATATGAGGAACAGGGGGGAAGGGACAACAGGAGATGTGGTCGGTTACCTGGCTGGGGGTTATGAATCTATGATGCCCATCATGCCCGTGTGGGCTCAAAATTGAAATTTTTTAGTGCAGCGAAATTCGGAAAGAGAGTCAGAGATTATTATTATATGAAACAATAATAATGAAATTATGAAAGTCAATAAACGAAGCTATTGCTAGGAAAATGAGCAGTAGCGAAATGACAGAAATCCAGAATGCAAAATCACATTGAAAGGCAGGAAGTCCAAAAAGCTGTCCAGAAAGCAGAAATGCACTGATGTACCACCAACGCCGTCCAACGGAGAACCGAAGCAGCAAATCCAAATGTCAATGAGAGCATACTCTCGCCACCACCAACATATGTATTATGTATCCATCTTCCTTCCTTCTATCTGGCGCTCAGCGCCCAGGCTACTACTGCACAGCTATTAGCAGCCTACGAATTGACGATGCATCCCGTTGACGTCAGCAGCAACAAACGAAGTTCATGAAGATGTGACCTTGTAGAACCAAGACCAGGTACGTGCCCTCACATCATCAACCTCATCTCTCTCTCACTCACCCGCGACTTCCACTCCCATGTCTTCCTTCCCATACACGAAGACCACCACCACGTCCACTGGCTATGTCCAAGCCGAGCCCCGGCTACGTGGGGCTGGCTATGGCGCTGCCCTCAGCAGCAGCGCCCTGCCACTTCTTGCATGACCGCACGCGCGTGCACACTTGCCCATGCATTAGCCCAGCAGGCCGCGAGTGCTAGCTCCAGCAGCGCGCTGCTGCATCTGCTTGCAAGTGCCGGACGAACTCGCAAGCAGACGCGGCAGCACTCTGCTGGCCCTTTCCTATATGGAAAGTGGTGGGCAAATTCCACCCCTTTCCCTTCGGAGCTTCTGCTGCTGCTGCTGCTGCTGCTGCTGCGGTACGAGAGAGAGAGAGAGAGAGAGAGAGAGAGAGAGAGAGAGAGAGAGAGAGAGAGAGAGAGAGAGAGAGAGAGAGAGAGAGATTGAGCTGATGTTGAGACTTGGTGACATTTTGGTCTTCACCCGGTTCAGTGACATTGCGATCTCTTCTCCCCTCTTCGTCCGGTGATGTATCCGGACTGAGCGCCGCTTCCATGATTGATGCGCTGACTCCGCTGAGTCCACTCTGAGTGATGGTCAGTGCTGTCAGGACCTGTCATTGTCCATGCTGAGTCAGATCTTGGTATCTCGGTCTTTGGCTGTGCTATTTTTGTATTGTCTCTGAGAGGCCGGTTCTCGGTTCTGATCGATGCCGGTTCGGCATGCGACACTGGGGCCAGCTGGGATGACCAGGTGCCCTACCCTGTGAAAACGAACTCCGGTTTCAACTTGGCACTGGCGCGCGCTGGGCGGGGCTCTAAGCGAGCCATGGGCCTCTGGGTGCCTGGAAAAGGTAGCATAGCAATAACTTTTGTGGATTTTCATTTCTTGAATAATTATTAATTTATTAATTAATTATTAATAATTAAATTTAATTTCACTGTTCTCAGCCAGCTCCATTCTTCTTACAAGCGCTCGGTAAATTCACTGATCTCCTCTTCAAAAAAAGCTCAAACTGACTTTTACCGCCCCCGGTAAAGTTTTCAGAGTTATTTACTCACCTGAGAGTTCATTGGGACTCTCGGAACTCGGAACTGCGGTCTGCATTTCAAAGTTCATGGGTGTACCAACTGAGAGCTACTAGGCCCAAAAAAAAAAAAAAAAAAAAAAAAAAAAAAGCTACGGGGCTGGGCTACCAGAGTGGCCCGGTCCACTTGCCCGGCCGGGCCAAAAAGAAATAAAAAAAATAAAAAAATAAAAATTTACTTTTAAATTTAAAATTTTATTTTAAATTTGGTAAAGAATTTCGATGTGACCGTGAGGCAAAAGTTGTTCAGTTTATTTTTCTGCATAACATAGCTTTTGTTTTTCGGATTTTTTATTATTATTATTTTTTTTTTTTGGGGGGGGGGCTGGGACCTTAATAGTCCTTGCACGGCCGGGCCGCCCGGGAAAATAGGGTGACCCGGGCGGCCCGGCTGGTAGCCTAGCTACTGGGCCCATTTTTCGGTCCGTTCCGTCTCGTCCGTCAAGGAAAGCCAGGTTCGTTGCATGATGCGGCATGCGGGTTGGGGGCGGTAAGAGGGTTGTCCGCTGTTGGCATGACTGTGCTTCATGGGGATTGCGACGAGCTCCTTGGCTTCGACTCCGATCGTTTTTCTCTTGTTTCGAATGGAATGCGATTACAGTGACACGTGTGCTTTCCACGACGCGTTTTTGACATGCGTTTTTGAGTATTGCTTCTTTTTTTCCTTTTTTTTTTTGTGTGGAAAGGGCGACGGCCTTGAGATATTATCATCATTGAAGTTGATTGAACTGACTGTCGGTAAGTTTGTCAACGTAGCCCTGATCGCTCCGCAGCCAGACAGAACCGAACCGGTGACCCCGGCGATAACAGCCGGATGCCTTTTTTCACCACGGCAACTGTGACCCGGTCTTTGAAAAAAATGAAGCCATCCATACCGTAACGGTCCGAACATTCAGCCCACCCCAGCACAGGTGAGTCAGAAGTGCGTTATTTTTAAAATTTTATAAACTAATATAAACTATTATAAACTATTATAAACTATTATAAAGTTTTATTTTCAATATTTTGTTACTCTGACAGAGTCTGACTGAATCTGGACTGGAGCTGGGGTCTGTGTTTCAACAGTTCATGCCACTTCATGGGTATAGCACCTGCGCTAGGCCCGTTGGTTGGTGTTTGTGAGACTTTTATTGCTTTGATTGCCTTACTCTGCCAAGTCCATTGCATGTCTGATACTTCTTTTTCTCTTTTTTTCCTTTTTCTTTTTTTTGTGCAGACAGTGCCAGACACTTTATAGAACACGTGTGATCACTGTGATGTTTCTGTTTTTTTTTTTGTTTTTTTTTTTTGAATTTGAGATGTCTTTTTTTGTTGTGTGTGTGTGCAGAGAGTGTCAGACACTTTATAGCACGTGCGACATTTCTGAAACTTTGTCCTTTCTTTTCTTCTTCTTTTTTTTTTTTTTTCCCCCCTCATAATTTCTGTCTTTTAAACTCTTTTTGTTGTTGTTTTTTGTGCAGAGAGTGCCAGACATTTTATAGAACACGTGTGACGTTTCGGTCCTTTTTCTTTGTTTTTTTTTTTGTTTTTTTTGTTTTTTTTGTTTTTTTTTTGTGCAGAGAGTGTCAGACACTTTATAGCACGTGTGTGACGTTTCTGAAACTTCCTGTCCTTTTTTTTCCCCTCATAATTTCTGTCTTTTTCTTCTTTGTTTTGTGTGCAGAGTGCCAGGCACTTTATAGAACACGTGTGACGTTTCTGTCCTTTTTTCTTTTCTTTTTAACTTTTTTTGCAGATTAGCCAGTGGGATCGGAGGATGGCAGAGAAACCGGTCAGACAGTTTGAGGGTCACGTCAACTCGCATCTGATGCTACAGATCGACATCGATCCAACTGAGACGATGCTCATTTCAGGTATCCGTTCTCCCGTTATGACATCTTTTACGCGTTCTTCTCTGCTCCTCCACGGACAATAATGATAGTAATAATGAATATTAATGATAATATAATAATGATAATATAATAATGATAATATAATAATGATATAATAATAATAATAATGATAATAATAGTACGTTTGCCAGAGGACCCAAATCCGGGGCCACACGGACGGGAACATGGAGACCTCAGCCATAACAGCGGGATGTCTTCACCACGACGTTCTCGTTTTCCTGAAGTCTTTTACACGTTTTTCTCCGCTCCTTCGTTTTCTCCTTTTCCTTCTCCTTCTTTTTTTTCCCCCTTAGAATAACTAACCTATATTCTTCTCTCCATATACCTCCCTGTACCTACCTACCTACCTAGCCTGGAATGATTCACTGCTCATCTATGGACCACAAGCCATATATATGTAATAAAATYAATATTATATATGGTATTATATGCACTTTTTCTCAGCATGGGACGCTAAGGGTTATGGGTTGGATTCCCGGCCTCCCGAATGTTCTCCCTACTACTAGTAGTGGATCCCAGCCYTTTTTTTTTTTTGGCTCGACTCTGGTCTATGTRGGGAGCAGTACTCCGCGGGTCCTAACACCTGGTGCGAGCTGGAAAACGAAGTGAAGGGATACTTCCACAGCCAGCCAGGGGGCCCAAGCCAATTATCTCTGCTGGTGAACCTGAAGGCGTATCACAGGGGGCCGTGGGGGATYGAATGGACCACATCGGGAATCGAACCCATGACCTCCTGAATACCACTTACATGCTCAGCCAACTGAGCTAGCCCACTTGGGCTCCTTTTTCCTTCTTCTTTCTCGCCTTTCCTTCCTTGTTTAATAACATTGTTGACAACATTAATTCTGTGTGTGGGGGGGGAGCAGTGGGGGGAGGACATGATGAATATGAGAATTCTTCTGTTGTGGGGTAGAGGCCTCCTTTCTCTGCCAAAGGGTGCTGAGTTGACCTTTCAAATGTTTCCCTCGCCCCTACAGAGTA